GCTGCAGGCGAGGCTGGGGTCTTTCTGTAGTTCCTGACAGAAGGCAGCGACCACGTAGGGCTCGACTAAAAGCGTCCCTCGGGATCCGGGGCAGGCGGCTACCCACGCGTGAGACCGTATGGCACCTTGAATCTGTGCTTCAGCAGTGGCTTCTACAAAACCAAGAGCCATCCTGGCACTACAGCTGTAAGCAGGTAGGAAAAGAGAGCAAGTCTTTTTGGCCAGTCTGAAGCCTTCGTCACCGAGATAACAACGGCCTACTAACGCGCACTGAGCCCTGATAAGCTGTTAATGACGCTCGTTGGAGGAGCCTAATCGCACTGTGTACCTGGCAGCCGCAATCTGTCATGAATTTCGGGCCTTCGAGATTCCCGTAAGTAAATACATGAACTGAAGGGTTTAGCTGACCTGTATATTGCACGGAGTTTCACTGAGGTACTGGGACCTCTTCAATGCATCCCAAAGCCTTTAGTACTTCTGTAACACCCTTGGGAGGAAGCGTGGCTTGGCTACAAGTGGAAAAGAGCCATGCGGAGATCAGGTGCCTCAGTGAAAGGTCACAAGGCTGTTCCATGGTGGAGCTGAGGATGAACCCTGATCTGCCAGCCCCGATCTGCCATGTCAACTTTACCAAACTACACAGGGCTGGTTTTTTAAAAACTTATTCCAGTAGTCACAGTTCTTTCCGGACACTAAAATACATAGCTATCCAGTTCACCGAGACCCACCAGAAGATATACTTGCTTTGGAAAGTAATTGTTCATCTCGGGGCACATTCACTTTCTTTTAAAAAGGTATACTAGCACAGTTTGGATGGGTTTTTTTTTCTCAAAGCAGAGCTGGATTTGTTTAGTTTTATAGAGAGAATTTAGAAAGGTGGTGAATAAATACACACCTGTCATCTCTTCAGAAATAAAATCAGACTGAAGTTCCACAGCATGGAGGAATAGAGTTTGTTTGCGCTTTTCATCTGTTGTCATCTTCTCTTTTGCAAATAATTTTTAAATGAGGAAGAAGTCAACTGACAAACATATGCAGTCTCATTACAGTGTCTCATCTTTCCTGATAACAGCACTAGTCGGTAATGGATGAAGTCAGTAAATGCAGGCACATTGATTAGAAAGCCAGAAGACCTCTCGCATACATCTGCAACACACCCTGCATCGAGGACTAAAAATGGAGTGGTTTACACTGCTGTTTTCTCAGGTGTGTTCTATATCACACCCTTCATCCGTGACTTACCTGTTCATTTGGGTTCCTGTTCCAGAATCCAAGCGTAGGAGGAGGAATCAGAGTATATTAAAAAAACAAAACCCATAAACCAAACGAAATAAAAAAGTACAGAGATAGGAAGAGAGGTTTGGGCAGAGCTTGGACACAGCACAATAAATGTGAATCATTAACAGGGAAAGAAAGTAGGAAGGGTTAGAGGGGAGGACAAAGGTTATAGTGATAGATGCAGAGGAGCAATCCAGAAAGCTGTATTCTTTGGGAAAGTATATTTTTTAAAACACGGTTTTGGAAGGGATTTAAACTAGGAAAAGGACGTGACTAGTTTGGAGACGTTTAGGTGCAGCCAAAAAGTGATTGAGCAGGGAAAAGGCAAAGAATAAGTCAGTACTAGCTCTGTGGAGAACTATGTATTTTATCTGTGTTCTTAGACATCTCCTGATGGTAATACCTGAAGATATTCCAGTGACATATGAGTGATGTAACTGCCACATCAATTACTGCCACCACGTCTACATTCATCTTCCCAGAGGAGTTTTTGTTTTGGTAGATAGGGGATGTTTTTAGTATTCATATTGGGAGTAAGAAAACAGATGGACTATTTAAGAGAGGAGGACAGTCACGTAGGACAGGAAAAAGAACTTCAGTTTGATATGCAATTAATTGGGGGCACTCTCAGCTATTTTAAAAACGTATGGAGGGAGGGAGGATTTCCTGCTCACATGGAGGAAGCAACACTTGAAAACAGAAAAATAAACTTTGTCCTCTCAAATCTACTGGGGAAAAAAAAAAAGAGTGGCACACTGTTTAGGAGAGTACAAGACTGAACTGTGTAGTCACTATATACAAAATGGGAAAAATTGGTGGATGAACTCTTTATACAGTGTTTCCACTACCACTGGTGATATTAATGCAGAACTAGAAAACTGATGCCACAGCTCAATGTATATATATTTTTAGTATACTGCTACACAAAACAGCAGTCCTGCTTTGTCTGGAGAGGCAGAAAGTAAAAAAGCTAACAAAATTTCCTTCTGCCTCATTAACATTTCTCTACCCTCAGTTCTAATACTTGGATTCCTAACCTTGTATGGCTCCATACACACAATATATTTCATAGATTATTAGAGTAACAATTCACGTTTTGTTCTCCAAAGATAAAAAAGCAGCAGAGCACAAAATACGTGTCCAGCCCTTACTTACAACTGTGAGGCACTTCTACCACATTTCCTTCTTTTTTTTTTTTGCCTCCACGTTTTCTTTTCAGCACGGTTCACAGTTGGGTGTAGACAAAATCAGGTGTTAACCCTATGACGCAGATAACCCAGAGCAGGAAAGACACCCTTCCCCACCTCGTCTTTTGGAGTGCAAAAAGTACTTACTGGTGAGGCAACCCAGCGGTCAGGAGCTTCAGATTGGTTTGGACAGATGTCTGAGGGCTGCATAGACAGATGACCTTCCCCGCTAATCCCAAGTATTTCCTTCTCTTTACGTCTTCCTATGGGGTACCTCTTCTCTCCTCTGGTTCTCCCATTTCCTCTCCCTCTCTGATGCACCCTCTATCACCAAGCGTCAGCAGCGGGGTTGGATTCCGCTCCTGCAGGTGAGAGAATGAGATTATTTCCTCCTCCATCTCCTCTTCCTCTTCCCCCACTGCTGCCAACTCCTGTGGCAGTCGGTGTTTTTTCTTAAAGCCTCAGGTGCAGGAATTATGTGATTACACAGGAATTTCATCTTCCATTGAGAATAAATTGTCCCTAAGCTACTGAAAACTCAGCACAACAGAAGACACATACAAATAACAATCCACCTTTGGATGTAGGGACAAGGTTGCTTAGATTTCTGAATTCTCGAACTTGACACTGTAGTCCCACTCCTGGCTCCTCTTACACACAGCGGCACTCGGTGCCAGGTATAGCTAACGGTCTGTAGCCAGCCAGCCGGAGCACCCAGCCGTTGTGGTGCAAGGAGAGAATCAGTCCAAATCGCATTTTTGTCTGAGCTGCTTGGGGCAGGAACGTCCATGCAGGGGGCAGAGGCACAAGAAAAGGAAAATGAAGGCTGTGACAGCTCTGTGTCCCTCATACCCCCCCAGTACTGTAGAAATACTAGAGTTCTAATAGTCTCTCTTTTTTCGTAAAACGACCTGTATAAATAGGACCTTGTCGAAGTAATACCACCTGATACCATGATCTTCAGACTTTTTTCATTGCTGTGTACTTTGGAGCTACCACTGTTCCCGTCCAGCTGACAGAAGTACTGATAACCAGCTGCAGGAATGATTCATATTTATTAAAAGCCCAGGGGTGGTGGGAGGAAAGACATCTCTGCCTTCACTCATACGGAGCAGTCACCTCTCACCTATATTTACTGAATCGTTTCCTGGATCAAAACAACTGGGGCAGGAATAAGGTCCCAACTTCCTAGCATGGATTAGTTCGGCTTCAGAAGAGGCATAAGTTTAAGTGTGATTTATGTACAGAATAGTTACGGAATAGATCTCATACTCGCGCTAAGTCATTTGCACAAAGGAAAGGTTAAAAAAGGTGTATATACTGGCATTATTTTGACTGACTGAGCTTCTGTAGATGCCTGTGGGGTGATGTCACACATGGAAAATGAATGGAAGCAGCAGCTGAAAGCACTATATAAAGATAGCACAAGTAAGTAAAATTAAGTTGGGGTTGTTTTCCAAAATCAAAGGTAGAAGAGCAAGAGAAAATTCAATCCCGTTTTAAGGGTATCCAGCAATGCATCATAAACCCAGTTTTGCTTTTTATAGCTACGGTCTCCTATAGATCCAATGCTAGAATGTTTTCACCTCCAAAAAATTTAGACTGTGTGGACAGAAACTGAAAGAAAATGACTGTGAATTAAATATCTGAGGTATTACATAAGAACTATTGAAAAGAGTATTCAAATATGAGCATGGCTTGAGAGTCTAGCGACCTGCATGCCTACACCTCATTAACTAGTAGAGAAGACTCAAAATCTTTAAGTATCTGCAACAGGGTATGGACTTTTTACTGTTAGGAAATGTGCCCAAGTCCAGCCCAGGTTAGAAATTACTTCGGCTCATTACGTGGTAGATACCGGGTTGTATATTAATCACTCACACTCTAGTTCCCAGTATCCACATGTGCTGGATCATCACTAAAACCTGAAAGATCAGCTGGAGGCCGAGGGTTAGGCCTCCATGGAATTTATCATTTCTCATTACAAATATATCTGGATCGGAGAAGAGGCATGGGGTTTCCTTCTGTGGATAAACAGGAGGCTCAACAGTGGTAAAATACAACAGTCCAAACACTAAAGCGGGCTAAAGTGGTCTGTGTACCATGCAAGGAGCTTAAAAATAAGCAGAATGTGCTGTTACTGGTGGTTACCAATCGGGGAGATTCTTTTTTATTAACTCTTTCGGAATGAATACTCTTGTTGTTCGTTGCATTCGCAAGGGTTTTTTGTTCCCAGATGTTGATTCTCAGCCCTGTAGTTCTTGTGTAGGTTGTCTTCCCCAAATGTGGTCCTAGCTCTAGGCCATGATTAAGAGTGTTTTCAGGCTGTTTGGCTTGGTAGTTGTTCTTGTCAGTCACCTTCCAACTTTATGAACGTGCACATGTTCTTCTCATGATTTCTAGACACAGTGTCCCCCAGCAGCCCCCAGTTTTGCCCTGGCTGGTAGGGCATTTTGTCAAGAGTGAAGACTCATGGTCTTCAAGAGGCAGATTTCCAGCTAACACCTGGAGAAGCACTTTCCACTTGTCAATGTCTTTCATCACCCTCACAGCTCTGAGAGGTAGTGGTAAGCTCCCCCTTGTTATCCAAGAGCAGCAAGAAGGAAACTGGTCTCTTGAGATTGCGCTGCAGTGCTGTCTGAGATGCCTCCAAACGTGTGTTTGCATTTTCTGTTTCACTGACAATGTTTCACACATTTCTGGGACAAGAGAACCACAAGTCAGGGCAGAGGCCTTTCCCATCAGGGCAAAAGGGGTAGGACTCTTAGACAGACAGAACCCTAGCAAACTCTTTCACTGCTTTCAAAGTATGTGACAACACACTTGAAAAAAAAATATTTGACCCATTTAAGATGAATCCTGTTTACTTTGCTTGCATGAATAGAGTTGCTAATGTTAGCAGGAGGAAGATGAGCAGAATGTGGCACTACTTGCTTCCCTCTGCATTTGAATTTTCTGTAACATGCATTTTTCACTTAGAAGTTGACAGACCTTTTCAAAAAGAACTTTTTTTTTTCCCCATAAAAACCAGAAAACTCATAGATAAGAGGCTGGTGGTAGTGACCAGCATGGAATAATTACCTCTGTAACACAGTTAAGAGTGTACGAAAGGATCTGCAGGGTCCATGTCACATACATATGGGAATGAATGGCCTCTGGACTTGTGCATTTGGTTGTCAGACCACTGTGATGCTGGTGGTACCCAGGGCCTTTGAACTGGTGGCCTGTCAACATGCTTTTGAGTCCCTAATTGTATGCAACTGAGTTTGATCTTCACCTCTAGGAAACCATGTCCATGTATACCTGCCACTCTTTCTCTCTCGGGGCTGGCCCTTAACTCTAAGATAGCCCGTGATTTCTTTTTCCAGGCTCAGCCTTTCCGTGGTCCTGAAAAATGAGGAAGAAAATCCCTTTTTAATTTTGTTGCCAGTAAGATCCCCAATCTTGTGTAGGACCACCATTCACCATTGGCTCAAGAATGTGGGGCAACGTCCTGGATCAGACATAATGTTGTTGGAAGTGAAACAATAGCTACGGATATCATCTGCTCAGGATACTGTGTCAGTTCTGTCCCTTGGCTTTGCTATTGCCGGTCAAATATGCAGAGCCAATAGGAAAGTTAGCAAAGCAAAGCAGCCAGGGCTGGGTTACTTTTGTTAGACTCCATTGCCTCACAGATGGCCGAAATAGTCAGTACCTCCACATCTGACCAGCTCAAAGTGCAAGCAAAAGCTGAACGTGAAGTGTCAGTCAAGGCTGGGGCAGTACCTTCTGGTTAGTACCCCATCCTCTCTGTCGTGCCCCATTTTCAGCAGCAAGAATGTACGACCCAGCGTGCACACTCAAACCAGAAGACGTAGTGCTAAGCCAGAAGATCTCAATTAGTTTTAACATCTCGAAAACCCCAAGGCAGACACTGTGTAGTGCAGCAGGGTCATGCACAGCCAGGAAGCAGGCAGGGGCAGCAGGGGGCTGCAGCTGGGGCCCCACTGGGTCGCTGCAGAGCAGGAGGACAGAGCTGCTGAGAGCTGCAGACCTGAACCCAGCCTTCAGCCCTGGGCAGTCTTCGGGGGTCCCTGGCCTTCTCCCAGCCATAGTGTTGTGTCGGGGCCATGCCCCTGCTGCTTACCTCCCTGCAGAGAGCCCCCAGGCCAGGGGACAGCAAAGTGCCCAGACCCTTTCTTGTTATATATAATTTTCTTGCGTAATTTGGAATTTGTTTTCCCTCTTCTCCACTGCCTGCAAGTGCGGAGCAGGGACCCAGCACGGCACCTGGGCGGCTGCTGCAGTCCCACAGCTGAGCTAGACACCCACATCAGCGCAGGTTCCCCTGGAGCTGGAGGGAGAGGTGGCTGCCCAAGTGTCATCCATCGGGGGAAAGAAATGCCTAAAGCAGCATGTCCTTTGGAGTACTGCCTCCTAGATGATCCTTTATGCAGGACATCCCAGTATTTTTCTAATTACGGAGCAGGGCTTTGGGCTTAGGTTTACTCTGAGAAGCCAAAGAAATGTTTCCCATTTTCTGTAATAGAAGCGGAATTTAAATGAATGATTGTAATAATACCTAGGGACTGTGTTTCTGAGATTTTACCACATGTAAACACAATCATAAGTGTAATCAATGTCAGTGACTTCCATTTAATTCTCAGACAAAATTTGCTTTTAAATACCACACCAGATTTGACGCGGTGTCCTGGTTTCATCTGGGGTAGAGTTAATTTTCTTCCTAGTAGCTGGCATAGCGCCCGCTGTGTTTTGGATTTAGGATGAGAAGAATGTTGATAACACACTGATGTTTTAGGTGTTGCTGAGCAGTGCTTACACTAAGTCAATGACTTTTCAGCTTCTTATACTGCTCTGCCAGCAAGGAGGCTGGGGAGGCACAGGAAGCTGGGAGGGGGCACAGCCGTGACAGCTGACCCTGACTGACCACAGGGATACCTGACACCATACAACGTCATGCTGAACAAAAAAACTTGGGGAGGAGTTGGTAGGCATGGCGCAGCCACTGCACAGGGACCAGCTGGGCATCGGTCAGCGGATGGTGAGCAATTGCATTGTGCGTCACTTGTGTATATTCTTTTATCATCATCATTATTATTTTCCCTTCCTTTTCAGTCCTATTAAATTGCCTTTATCTCAGCCCACAAGTTTTACCTTTTTTTT